TGCAGCGTTGTGTGTGTGTGTGTGTGTGTGTGTGTGAGAGAGAGAGAGAGAGAGAGAGAGAGAGAGAGAGAGAGAGAGAGAGACCTCTAAGGAGAGGCAAGAAAGCAATGCTGCAGACATTGAGCACTTGTATAGACCACTTTAAGTTTTCTTTTTCTTGCTCTTCACATTTGGGGACTAATTTTCTACTTTTCTGCTCACTAAGAACTTTTTGAGGAGAATGGAGTAGGGTGACATGAGTCAGATAAAGAATAAGAAAAGAAATTTCAAATCCATTTCAAATTACCTTTTGTCAGTGGCTCAGCGAAAGGCTGGAGATATTGGTTAAGATGAGGCTGTCACATTACTTTAGATTCGTATGCTCCACAATTGAAAGAGGTCTATATTGCTTGGAGTAATTAATGATGACTCTGGTGACAGAGGTGGTGGTCATAAGCCATTCACAAATATGTATTGAGCACCTACTACATGCCACCACTGACCTAGACACATGGGATCGAAATGGACTCCCTTTAATAAATCTCTGCCATTGGGGCTTAAATTCCAGAAGAAACTGGCAAAATGGTGCTAGCATTCCCCTTCTTGTTTGAACTATTTCCTTCTCATAAGTTCCTAGTCATGAACGGCTTGTTCTCCATTAAGTGCCAGCATCGGCTCGAGAATCATAAAACTTTATCTCTTCCAAAGCTTGAAGATTTTTATCTGCTTAACATGTTTATATGAGCAGAGAAATGGACTCCGTTTCAGATGTAGAAGTCTGTGTATGTGCGTTGAGGGGTGGGTGGGGGCGGTGATAGTGTACAGTGGGAAGAAATTCTACTGCCCTACTCTCCACTGATACTTTCCAGCTGGGGAAAATACATGTTAATACCCGAATTGCTCCCCTCCAGCCCACTTGCCTTTCCCCCTCTGCCTCCACTTTGCTCCCTCCTCCCTTCCTTTCTAAATCCCTCCCTCTCCTCCTTCCTTCCCTTTCCTTTGGTCCCTCCCCACCCCCTTCCCTTGCTCAGGTCTTCTCCTCTCTGGCTCCCTTTTTCTCTAGCCTT